CCTGACACCACACCGAAGTCGAAAGCCCAATTCGACAAAACCAAATAAAATCATCAACCTGAATAACCCGACTCTGCTCTGAGTGAACTCCCTCGACCTACCTCGGAGTTTGAAAAATAAATTCGACATAACAAAAATCAAATAAAGAGCATCAACCTACCACCGAGGTCTGCAAATAAACTCACTGAGTTGCTCGAAATGAACTTCCTCGACCTGCCACTGAGGTCGAGAAATAAATTCGACATAACCAATATGAAATACAGATCATCGACCTACCACCGAGGTCTGCAAATACACTCTCTGAGTTGCTCGAAGTGAACTCCCTCGACCCGCCACTGAGGTCGAAAAATAAATTCGACATAACAAAAATCAAATAAAGATCATAAACCTACCACCGGGGTCTGCAAATAAACTCTCTGAGTTGCTCGAAATGAACTTCTTCGACTGCCACTGAGGTCAAAAAATAAATTCGACATAACCAAAATCAAATACAGATCATTGACCTACCACCAAGGTCTGCAAATACACTCCTTGAGTTGCTCGAAGTGAACTTCCTTGACCCGCCACTGAGGTCGAAAAAGAAATTCGACATAACCAAAATCAAATAAAGATCATCGACCTACCACCGAGGTCAAAGACATAAATATGATAAATAAAAACCAAATAGGAACCAAGTAGTAATCATTGATCTGCCTCAGAGGTCTCCAATAGGCTTCATGTCTTCACCGACCCAATACTAGGATCGAGCACTCAGCCCGAAGGCCTTAGTCATGGTGGATTTTTTGTCTTTGAACACATGTCCACCTTCGAATGAGTCGTCGTTACATGCGACCACCCAGCCCGAAAGCCTTAGTCATGGTGAATTTTTTGTTTTCGAACACATGTCCACCCTCGAAGGAGTGGTCGTTACATGCGACCACCCAGCCTGGAGGCCTTAGTCATGGTGGATTTTTTTCTTCGACCACTTGCCCACCCCAAGGGATGTTCCAAAAACATGGCGGTCGTCCAGCCTGGAGGTGTGGACTTTTTCGACCACCTGCCCACCCCAAAGAATGTACCGAAAACAAGCGACCACCCAGCCCAAAGGTCTTAGTCATGGTGGATTTTTTGTCTTCGAACACATGTCCACCCTCGAAGGAGTGGTCGTTATATACGACCACCCAGCCCGGAGGCCTTAGTCATGATGGGTTTTTTTCTTCGACCACTTGCCCACCCTAAGGGATGTTCCAAAAACATGGCGGTCGTCCAGCCTGAAGGCGTGGACTTTTTCGACCACCTGTCCACCCCAAGGAATGTACCGAAAACAAGCGACCACCCATCCCGGAGGTCTTAGTCATGGTGGATTTTTTGTCTTCGAACACATGTCCACCCTCGAAGGAGTGGTCGTTACATGCGACCACCCAGCCCGGAGGCCTTAGTCATGGTGGATTTTTTCTTCGACCACTTACCCACCCCAAGAGATGTTCCAAAAACAAGGTTCAATAACAATTATTTTAGTAAGTTATTAATTAATTTTAAATTTATGTTTTTGCAAAACAATTGAAAAAAAAGGAATTTATTTCAATATCATTGAAAATTTCATTATAAATAGGTTGATGATATGACCGATCACGGTGGTATTCACAAACTAATATTTTAAACCAAAGTCACTGCTTGCGCATCTAGTAGCACAAAATAGAGCTTTTTATTTATTATAAAACAATAGGGCGACTCGTGTGATACTAATAGTCCTTCACTCTTTTTTATATTCATAAGTCATCACATAGAAAATCACAAGTGGTAATTGATGCCACGTGAATTTGAAAAGTATTTGTAGATCAAAAGGAGAGAACATATCACATATAGTTCAAACACAACATATTTTAATAAGATATTAATTTGTTTTTTTTTTTAAAAAAAAATATACAGGTCAACACACTATATTTTGATATTATTAGAAACTTCCTTATACACAACATTTTCGGTCTGAGTCTTAGAAGCTTGATCTCCACACACTAAGATTTTTTAAACCACTACGATTGGTTACACGTGATACGACCACATAAAACTGTTCGTGACTTACAACAGGATTTTTTAAAAACAGGCTGACATGTGTTAGCGACTGATCTGTTGGGATCTATGAGGATCTCGTTCTGTACAAGTCACGAATTCAGTAGCAAACATAAACCTATGCGCAGCAGATCTAAAGGTTTGACGTAGAAAACTTATAGCGGATCTAAAGGTCAGACGGGATGAATTAGATGGGATGACCGAGAGCAGCACGTCAGAATCGCCGGGATCGCGCGGGGCTAGGATCGTCGGCGTCGAACTCGCGGGGCTGCCACGGTGTCCCCGGGCATTGTGCGGTGGCTGGCCTAGGCTGCGGGCTGCGGCATTGTCGCGGGCTGGTCTTGGCGATCACTGCGGCTCATAGGCTGGGCTCGGCTTCGGCACGACGGTGATCCGGCGGTTCGCGGCTCGTCAGCGGCGGTCTGGCGGGTCACGATGGTCGGCTCCGGGGTTGATGAATATATGTATCACATGGTCTCGAATACCACGTGATCTTCTACTGTATTACTCATACAACTCTTCAACACGTACTGGTGGAGCAACGGGAAGAAGATAAGGCTCGAATGAAAATCTAGAGAGAAGAGAGAGAGGCGTGCGTGTGTTTTTATGCACGTAGGATTTTCTGATCTCTTGTTGTCTCTTTCCATGAGCTTAATGATGTATATATAGAGTTACAGTAGAGATCTTTAGGAGAACAGGATTAGGGCTTATTAAGCATTAGGTCTAACTGTGAGCCTAGCCACTCTTCCAATACTTAAATAATATTACGGTCCACGAACGTAATATTAATGCACTTCTTTTTCCTATCTCAAATTATATTTGAGACTCCAATTATAATTACTCGAATTAACTCCCTATGTTTAAGATATAATGTTTATTAATTAATTTGATTACTGATAATTAAGTATTAATTAATATATTATATTACCAAAGCTAGCACCGTTCATTACATTATTATTATTTTCAAAATCAAGGCCAATCCAATTATATGAGGTAGACACTAATAATGGACTCTACTTGATTCTTTTTCCATTCCTTTAGCAGATGTTGTCCATCGCAGGACCACACTTTTCCTTTGAGTACCTTCCATTTGTCTTCTTCAGTTTGCAAAAGAAACTGAAATAGATTAGGCTCTAGCACCCTTATGGAGAATGGCTTGCTAGTTCTCCAAATTAAGCTCATGTGGTCTATAAGCCTCCCAGATTAACTTTTTTTCCCCCCGATTATCCGATTAGACTCCCCTCGCATTCTTGAAGTCCAGGTTCAATATCCGTTTCTGACAGAATTATTCCAAATTTTTCTTTATCGGAAAGCTCGAACTTGCTCAGCTTGTCAGTTAAGTCCTGCTCCATGGCTACGCAATCAGAACTCAACTAAGGCTTAGGAATCAAAGAAGAACATGAACAATAACCCAGGATTTGAAACAACAAAACCTTAAAAACATAGAAAAGAGGAAAAAAACTTAGAGAGAGAAGAGGGGATCACAATAAATGGGAAGAAAACCTAGAGAGGGAAAAAGGGTAAGAAAACCCTAAGGAAGAAGAAGAAGAAGGCTAAACGACGAAGAAAAGTAGATCGATACTGAATCCTAACCAAAGGAACGGGACCAAACTCTAGATAGAGAGATAAATTTCCAAAGAGGAAAACTACGTCAGGCCCCTTTTGTTTTTTCGATTTAGATTATACACGTGTTTCAAATTGACAAAATGCAAACTAATTTAAGGGATGCCCTAAATCTATATATATATATAATTACTAGCTAATAGCATTTAAGAAAACCTATTTAATAAAACTTCTAAAATTTTTCCTCCATTTTCAGTTACAAAATTTATCATTAATGTTTTTTACTTCTCACATTAATACATCCTAGTGAGTGTAATCATGTATTTTTCTATTATCTTATATAATAATTATTGCTAATACCAACTAATAATAATTCACAATAAATATAAATTGCATAATTATAAACAATTGTTTCAATTTAATTATTTTAACATCAATATCATCTTTTTCTTTTGTATCTCATGAAAAAATTTCTTTAAAAACAATTAGTAAATTGTTTTAATAGCATAGTCAAACAACTTTAGAATCTTATAAACAATTGTTTTTGTAATAATAATAATAATAATAATAATAATAATAATAATATCAAACTGCTATTATCTAATGATAATAAACAATTGTTCATAATAATAAACAATCATTAATTTATTTTTTCTAATGATTAAATTTTAAAAATGTAATATGTTCATTATCTAAAATTTTAAAATTAAATACTTAAATATTACTTATAATATTTTATGTACATCTGTGCATGTGCACATGATATTTACTAGTGATTAGTGGTAAGTCAGATTTAATTGCTTTGATTTAGATTATACACGTGTTTCATATTGACAAAATGCAAACTAATTTAAGGGATGCCGTAAATGATTAGTGGTAAGTCAGATTTAATTGCAAAATGAGATTTGTCGTGTTTTAGATTATTCCAAAGTAAATCTATACGAATATGATTCAAATTGACAAAATGCAAACTATTTAATGGGTGCCCTCATATTTAATTGCAAATAGAGATTTGTCGTATTCCGAATGAGAAAATCGTACAACAGAGAGAAATAGTTATAAACTTAAAATAATTAATATCAAACCTACTTGGTGAAAAAATATTGCCTTTTTGCTTTCCCGTAGCACTTGGAGTGCTGTTGCGTGTTGCCAGCAGGAAACCAAAATCACATTTTTTCAATAAAATCAAATTATAGAAATATAATATTCAACTTGGCATTTTTTTACTCCCTTTAAAAAAAATAGAAAATCACACTAGATTTAGGACTCCGCCTATAAATAACCTGGAGCCAACTGCATCTCCTTCGCACATCAGACGCAAGAGCGAGCGAAGAGAGATATAGAGAGAGAAACAGAGCGGGCGAAGAGAGAGAGAGAGAGAGCTGACAATGGGCGGTTGGGCAATAGCGGTGCACGGCGGCGCTGGTGTGGATCCGAACCTCCCCACAGAGCGTCAGGAAGAAGCCAAGCAACTCCTCACTCGCTGCCTCAACATCGGCATCTCCGCCCTTCAATCCTCCCTCTCTGCCATTGACGTCGTCGAGCTCGTCGTATGATTTCACTCCACCATTTTTTTCTTCGCTCATTCAATTCTCCATTATAATTTCTTTCCGGTCTAGAACGCGTATCATTCTCCAAAAGCGAGAGAAATCCCCTTTTCGCTTCCAAACTAAACCTCGATTTTTTTTTTTCTCCTGCATTGCGTAATTTTGGCAATTTTTTTTTTTTTAATTTCAGTCGAAGCATTTCTAGCGTTCATTAAATTTGTTTCCCTCTGTGTGAAAAAGGTACGCGAATTGGAAACCGATCCCCTGTTCAATTCGGGACGCGGATCTGCACTGACCGAGAAAGGAACGGTGGAGATGGAGGCGAGCATCATGGATGGCTGCGGCCGGCGTTGCGGCGCCGTTTCCGGCATCACCACCGTGAAAAACCCTATCTCCCTCGCCCGTCTCGTCATGGACAAATCCCCTCATTCCTACCTAGCTTTCTCTGGCGCCGAAGAATTTGCGAAAAAACAGGTCCCTCTCTCTCACACACACCGCTCAACAGTTAATTTCTTTTCAATTAGAATATAAAATATT